AGGTAGCCATCTTCTTCCCAGGTGGTTCATACTCTAGAACTTTCTTGACAATAGGATCTATGACATGAGGTAAGGTGGTGGAGTCAGGCTTGGAAGGTGATGGGACAAGCCCAATTGGAAAAAGATTTTGCAGCTTATAGCGTATTTCAGGAGGTAGGTTCAAGCAACAGAGGCAGAGTGTTCCACAGGATATTACTTTTCCTAGGACACCATAAAAATTAAATACTCTATAAACAGTTTATATTTAAGCTCACCTGCTGTCTTGTTCATCAGAGGATTAAACCAGTCAATATACAACCCAAAGACCAAATTATATTTGGAAGTTAGGTAGTCTTGCATATCTCTCCAAGCACGGCTATCCTGAAGATCAGTGATTGAGCTCCCATCCTCTGGAGCTGGACGATTTACAGCATCTGCCAGATGCTCTTCAATATATTTCTGTGAGAGGAAAAATTGAAGCCATTCATCAAAGTCTAGAGTATTGAAAGTTGTATGAGCAACTAGCTTCAGACCTGTTGGAGTCCGGCGTTTTTTTGTGAGCTCTGCACCACATTCTTTCGCCCTGCTAGAGCGTTTAAATGGGCAGTGGTCAGGTAGTTCTTCTGCAGAACCAGAGTATTCTGTATAGCACTTGCGACAGATGATTGTGCGCTTGATGGTTGGTTCCAGTTCAAAGCGAGCATGCAGTGTGCGTATATCAACAGGAATATCAAGACTAGGTAGATTCACAGTCACTCCAGGAGCTTGTTGAGCAAGGGTTATCTTGATGATCTCTAGAGCAGTTTCTAGAATCAGTTTGATGCTTTTCAATGTTGTATTGACCACAGAGGCTGGGACATTCTTCTTTGTGTGCAGCCAGATAGCAAGCATTGAGCACAACTCAACAATCAATTTGTTAGGCTCCCTATCTTCTGCTTCTAATAAAAATATTATTTCAGAGAAGAAATTATTATGATCTAACTCTCACCATCTGCTGAATCCTGAGGAGGTTCTGGGTCAGGAGGGTCTTGAATATTATCTACACAAATTTTTAAGTACATTCTTGACCAAGTATAACTATAGCTCACCTTCATCATCAGAATCAACAAGATTTAAACTTGCTATTATTTTTCGGACAGGATGCTTAGAAATACGTCTTTTGACGGGCCCCTTGGGTTGAACAGCTGTGCGATGCTGTTTGCGCTTCCTCCAGGACAGCCATTTCCCTTGTTGTGGGACACCATCAATTACAATAATTGATTGGTTGCAGCCATAGGCAAGGCAAGTGCAGGCATAGAGTCGTGGGGGGTTCTTGGCCATAGTGCTCAAGCCATGATAATGAACGTGCTCATTTATATAGAACATAGTACTAGTGCTTCTTCAATAGAAATCTATCAATCATGTCAAAATCTAGTATTGATTATACTAGTTGCTGAGGCACCCGCTGAACGGCCAAAGGCACTCACGCTCGTTGCGCAGAGCGCTTCCTGTGGTTCTGCCCACCAGAATCAGTCTCTGGGCGCTGTTACCTGAGCCGGCACCGATGACGCACATCGCGTTCGAGTTGCGTTTGAGGGTCATCTGCCTATCTTGCAGAAATCACGGACATCAGTCATGTGTCCCGCTTGTACTCCCACACCGGGCCGTTCCCTCCAGCTCCCCTCGTCACCACGCTTTGGGGCCACATTCACCATTGCTCGCCCTTCTAGTCGCACCAAAACCGCCGCCCCTCCCAAGTATGACGCGTGGCGGCACAGCTTGACTCAGGCTTGACTCCTAGATTTCACCTGCTGCGTGTTGCCGCTCTCGATCTCGGCGATCTTGGCGTGCGAGAATCGTGGATCGATGGCTTGGCTTGTGTTCCGCGTGACCGGCGCTCCGGGTCTCCGGGTCAGTGACTCCGAGTAACGCCGGCCTCTCACGCCAACTTCCCATCCACCACCTCGGACGACGGCGCGCGCGTAGAACGGCGGTGATGTGGGGAGAAACGCTGGGTAATGAGGTGGGGGGAGTGTAGAAGAGGGGAAGAGAAAGCTGGGGACGGAAGGTGAGTGGTGAAACCGCCCAGTTTCAGCCACCTCACCGGATACTGTCCTCACCATCCTACGGCCAATTCCTGGCCGTTCCCCTCCATTTTTTTAGGAGCGTCCGGGACGCCCCTACCCTTCCCACATCTCGACGACCGAGACTGCTGGACGCACCGTTGACGCTCGTCGGTCAACACAATGTCCAAGGTGGACTTAAAATTGCCTCGGCTGCCTGGTGTGCGTTTCTCGGCCAAATCCTGCCAAACCGGGCCCTCTTACTTGGCCCTCTAGGCGCTTTCATTGTTGCGCATACAGCGGTCGTCAGCCCACGCGTTGCCTCCCGCCGCCACTTGCCATTTTCGATTGCCTCTTCCTCCCCCGCGCCGAATCATCGACCGTTTCGCAGCAAACTGCGGCGTTTGGCGCCAGCGGGGTGTCTCCCCAGATGCTGAAAATTTCAGCGTGAACGGGCGAGCGGTGCTCCCGCCGCCGCTCGCTCGTCACTTCCTCTCTCTCGATGTCCCGCGCTCTACAGTCCAGCAATGCTCTTTGGAAGAAACGGGTGGATGCATGAATGAGGCCTGGAAGGGTATTCAAGGTGTGTACTTGTTGTGCCTGGTCTGAGCTGCCATGGCTGATATTATTGCAGTATCTATGCTGTTTACTATAAACGCGGCACTAGAGTAAATACATTCTCTAAAATGGAACGAATTTGTCCCTATTATGCTGGTGGTGCAGGCGGCGGGGGCGGGGGCGGGGGCGGGGGTGGGGGTGGAGGAGGAGGAGGAGCAGTCGCCGCATCTCCTTCGTCTTCGCTGTCCGAATCCTCCATGTGTATAACCTCTTCCTCTCCTTCTGCCTCTCGGTCTCTGCGAGCCCTTTCTTCCGCTATCTCCTCATCTGTCGGAACATTGTAGCGTGCACGAACAGTCTTGCCGAAGCGTTGCATAAACGAAGTATTCCTCTCCTCCTTCCACATGTCGAAGCCTTCTTGACTGAGGCAATATGCGATGTCGGGTAAGGCGATGGTGGTGTCGTCAGAGTAGTTGGCACGGTCTCGCACGTCCATTGCATTGAAGAAGCTAGGCTCAAAATAGTCCATCGGAAGAATTAACTCCTGCTCTGCGTCCTTCTCACCCTTCGCAAAGAACATGGCAGGAGGAAGGATACGGGAGAGACGACTGGGCTCTAGACGATTGTCAATTCTACGGTTTGGCGGCCTACACAGTTGTTAGTAAGACAGTGCAAAGTAGTCATCGATTTGCGTACGCTTTGCCTGAGGGGATTTCTGTCCCATTCAAGCTTGGCCTCCCGGTCGAGGTAGCGGAACAGTGCCTCGGCACACGGACTGCGGCCAGGCTTCTCGCGTGCAATCCGAGTTGGCGCATTCCTTGCCCGCCGGTCCCGCTGCTCAAGTGGGATGTCTTCGTCATCTGAATGACAGGCCGGCTGTGCGACCATACGAAGGACAGGGCGACGGAAATTCTTCCGTACTGCTGTCGCCAGACGACGTGCACACAGCTGTAATAAGCCAGGTTAGCATAGTAGCGATATGGCAAACAGGACGTGAACACACCGCGTCACGACGCTTCTTGACTACCTCCAACTCCTTCCGCAAGCGCAGACCATCAGGGTCATTTTCGATGGTGTGACTGTCTGGGCCCAGTGTGCACTGAATGAACTTCCAAAAGATATCACTCAGGAAGAGACCATCCATCGCAAGCGCCGAGGAGACCGATTGTTCAGTGAAGACCAAGGCCCGTGCAGCAGATTGGAAGGTGGAAATGGCAAGTATGCAGTGGAGTTCGTTGTATGGAGAGCGAAGAGGGCCGAAGACGTCGGGGAGATATGTGCGGAGGCCGGCAGCAGCAATGACAGTGAATGCATGGGCGAGCCAGGAATGTGGAATTTGGCCTAGGGCCAACGCGTTCGTGCCCTTTGTTGGCCGCCCAGCAGTATCTAGATTCGCCTCCTGGACCTGCTCCAGAACACGTGTTGCGCGGTGAGCTGCAGAGGCGATGGGCTGCTTGCTTTGTACAACAAGCCTATCCACATGCGCTTGCATGTTCTCCACAGGCATGTGCCGCTTCTCAAACCACGCCATTTCATCCGTCGCACGACCCAGTCCCGATGACTGTGTGATAGCTCCCACACAGCACGCGCACCCATCGTCGGAAGGCAGCCTGAAACAGATTGAGTAGGCTTCACTGGCACTTGTAACTAAGTATCTAACGCACCGCAGTTGCTTCCTCGATATCCTTTGCGTCCTTCTGTTTGGGGCGGCGACGGGCAGCAGGAGGCCGTGTGATGGTCGGAGGGTCAGCTGGTGTGTCGGAGGAGATGGGAGTTGTCGAAGGATGAGAGGAAGATGCGGCACTCGGACCGGCAGTGGGCTGATGCCGCTTTTCCACGGCCTTGTTGGGAGTCATTGGCGGATGTGTCTGTTGTCTTCCGCTTCCTCTGGCGGTACGCAGTAGCAGGGGCCATGTAATCAGTAGGCTCAGAAGCAAGCGACAGGGTCTTTTAATTGAAAAACAGATGCTTAGGACAAAGATGACAGCTGCCACAACATGCGTCATAATTTCCCTTTCACAAAACATGCGTGTTAGATAAGGTGAAGGCCACAAAGAAAGTCTCAAAGAGCTCTATACTCCTAGCTTGTCTGACATGCCGCCCCCTTGCAAACTGCCGTTGGGCCTGCCGTACGCACTCCCATCAGCAAACTGCCATTGCTATTGTCAGCAGTGTGAAAACACTAACTTATGGCACACGCGATTAGTCACCACTAGCACACTGTGATGGACTGTGACACTTTCTTCTGTTGAAGTTTGTATGATCGCAATGGGCTAGCGGACACAACCGTAGAATTCTTGAAACCGGGCAATGACATTGAATAGCCGAGTAAAGACACTGGCCACAATAATTGTGTGTTTTCAACGAGTTTGACGACTGTCCTTGAATGTGCTCGTGACGACATGTCACACTTTCACGCAAAGTGCCCACAACAACCAGTCCACCACGATGGGCGACACATATCATCTGTAATCCAACGCTCTGGTTCACAGATTGCCCTAAAACCTCGTCGTAGGACTCTATCTCCGTATGAGAAATGGTGGATTCAATATCAGCCTTTTCTTCTGACTCGAGGATATCAACTACGCCCACGTTATCAACGCGACTGGGTGCCTTCATGGACTTTGCCTGACTCTGGTTTCGATCCTGAAAGGGAGAATTACCACGAATTCGAGGATGGCATTCGGGAAATGGTCAGCGACAGTTTGTTGCCGCACCGCTTTTCAACTTGACTCGTGATAGAGAAAAAATGTGCTCGATGCGGTCCGTCTTTCAGACAGAAACAAGGTTGTCCTGAGGAGGGTCATAACCGCGAGTCCCGAGCTCAGCATTCTGGAATACCTCAATACTAGGCAGCACCCACACAATCGCACTGTCCCACTTCTCGACGTCATTCCTCTGCCCGACGATGACTCAACGCTGATAATCGTTATTCCCTTCTTGCAACAGTTCGACGTGCCTGTCTTCCGACACCTACGAGAAGTTGTGGAGTGCATGCGACAGTATTTTCAGGTAGACAACCTCTCAGGTTGTGCATTGCGACCCGCTCACCGTATGCAAGGGCCTGCAGTTCATGCATTTCCATAGAATAACTCATCGGTAAGCGATATTCACACAGAACTAGCTTGTTCTTACCTTGTTTCAGAGATGTGTGTGCCTTAAATATGATGATGGACGCCACCAAAGTGCAGCCCTTTGGATTTCACTTCCGCTTCTCCAAAACCATCGACGGCAACTTGGAACATCCAAGTGGCTGGCGCGACCGCTGTTTAGTTGCTCCCGTCGACTATTACTTCATCGATTTTGGACTGTCCTCGTTCCATGAAGAAGGCGCAGATCAAGCTCGAGACGTTGCTGCCGTGGGCCAAGATAAAACTGTCCCAGAGCTCTCTGACGATGAGCCGTATAATCCCTTCAAGGTGGACATCTACCAGCTCGGAAATGTATTCCTCAAGCAGTCCAGAGTTCGTGAATGTCTTCGTTCGCCCTAGAGTCTTCTTAACCCGTTTCCTAGAGGCATCCTACGCTCTCCCCGTATTTTGGATCCCTGCTCCAGTCCATGACCGCTTTGGACCCGGCAGCGCGTCCTTCGGCTGCTCAACTACTGACCGCTTTCGAAGACCTCTGTTCACGCATTCCCGAGAACGAGTTGGACAAGAAGATGCCCAACATCCCGCAAAGCCCGTACTACAGCGGGGAGTCGGACTCGGACTACGAGTTGGTGACTGATTCCGAGTCAGAGTCCAATTGCGAACCTTCGAAGGCGTCCGATTCTGGTCCGAGGGACTTTGTTCTACACAATCCAAAATTTGGCTTATATTTGCGACTAGTCCCCCACACATAGGCCCAGAATCCTCCGTTTACAAGCTGATCGGCGGCACTACGAAGAGTTTTATCATAAGGGGCCCGCTAAGCTGCTCCAACCGGGTTCACTCAAGATGTTTCAATCTATTACCACCACCATCTCCGCCATCTCCAAATTTTCCGATGGTATTGCTGCACTCGGCAGTATTTGTGCCAGGTACATACAACCTCGGAGACGATGTTGCAGCGCTCCGTAATCTTCTTGTCTGCCCTCCTCCGCATGTGACGGGGACGAAGGCTGATACCCTATTCGCAACCTACGTCATCTATTCTACACCGATGGACGAGTGGGCCGCCGCGACCGCTTCAAGTTGACATCTCACCTCTCACCGTGGGAATGTGCACGTGCAAGCCCTGAGCGTCGACACGGTCGATGTTGGCATTGTTGGTATGGGCCAGCGCACCACCTCTTGTTCTACAAAGGTGGAGGCGACGAAGATGCTGTTGATGGATTCTGGGCCTCGCTTGGGCTTTGGGGGCGTCTGTGGCCAAGCTCGAGCTCCCAATGGCAGCGCAGACTCTCAGCTGCTTCTGCGCTCATTAACGCAGCTCCTGCGGGCGGCCAGCAATGAGTATGCCCAGCTGTTGACAGAGGCGAATGTCGACGCGTTGCGTATCGAGGGCCTTGTCCGCCGCATTCGCACGTGGACTGCCACGGCTGCTGCAAAATTTGCTGCCATTCCCAGGCCTCAGCAATATTGCACGTGATATTGGAGATGCATCCGGATTGGATTGGCTTAATACACGGCACGGTCCGACTGACGAACGCCGGGTTCCGGAATACAAGTCGATTCCGGCTAACGGTAAACTTCTGGTGCGGCCTGTTGGCGATAAATATCTGGGCTCCCTTTTCAACAGTCATGACGCGAAGGTCTATGTCCTCTAGTATCATGTCGAGGGACGTCAAATTGGGCACGAAAGTTGTTCGGTCTCATACGAGCCATGTCGTTACCTCATATTGCTATTGCCCATACCAACTGGAGTGCAATAGGCTTTTTTGTTACTGCGTCGCGTGGTCCGGACTTGGTTGGACTTGTAATCAGATAACGCTGGAACAATCAGTTAGGTCATATGACGTGACTGACCCCTTTCTCAGTTTCCATGATGATCTGGCTTTGGCTCAAAAGAGTGTACCCTAATGCAGGTCGCGGTCTTGCACTTTCACGAAGGTAAGGTATTAGATATTTAGACCGCTCGTTGACTTGGACTATGGATAGTTCCAGCTCCCATTCGCCGTCCGAGGAATTGGCCCGCATCATGCGTTTGCTGCAGGCCGGCAACCAGGAGGAAGCAGGGCGCCGTACTGCCGACTATCTTCGAAACGTCGTATGAGATGTATTCACTATGCTGAGACTGACAAGTGCTTGCAGTTGTCGAAAACACAAACGGACGCGGCATTCACTCCGCTACGCGCACAAGTCCGTGCCCTTACCTTAGCATTTGGCACACATACCACCCTTACCCACGCGAAATTCACATCGACTAAATCAGAATTAGAATCCACGATGGCGCTTCTGGAAACGACTCGGGCTCAAGTCGCATCGACTGACTCAAAACTGGAATCAACGATGGCGCTTCTGGAAACGACTCGGACTGAACTAGGCGACCTAGCTATTCTCACCAATAATGCCTCAGGCGCAATTATCACAAAAGCCTCCCTTTCAACCCTGCCTATTGCGTTGATTTTATTGCGGGCAGGGAAATCACCTACATTCAGAACTGACACTGCATACCTCTTCCAATGCACGCTCACACTCCGCCCCCTTCCTGCCACAGCCCTCCCTCCGCCGGATTTGAGCGCTGCCCTGAAATTATCTGGCGTGCTTTTGGCTCCTGCCACCTCCCAAACACCATACAGGACAAACACGAAACAGAACCACCGAGCGCAGCGGCGCAGCCTCCAAGCCACACAACATCTCTTTTCGGCCGAAGGGAATGACATTTGTGCTGCTATCGCATTGGTTGGTTTTCTTTCATCGTTCTGCACCTCCTGAGGATTGTTAGACGCAATGCGGAGGGGTTGTCCAGGAAACCGGGGCCGACGAGTGTACGCTGTTGGATTTCTTGGCATACATGCGCATAACACATGCACAAGCCCAGCAGGGTGTCCCTCCTCCAGACTCCTTCTCTACCTTATGTTGGATGTGGTCAATGGTCCTCCGCGAACGCGCCGGCTTCTATTCCACTTCCACATTGCCAACAACCTCTTTTATAGAGCATCATTTCGCCCTTGAAAGTCTGGGTTTGACGCCGCAAGACGCGATCAGCATAAATTTGTACAATCCGTCAGGTTGGTGCAAGTTGATCTCTGCAATTACTCTGCTTATCATGCAAACAGGGCGTGGTGGAGACAACGAGTAAGATTATCCGACGAGAAGACTTAGGTGCGCATAACTTGCTATAGAGTGATCTTGGTTGCTTATCTTGTGAATCAGCATCATTTATTCTTTTTCCACTCTCCGCATAGCTTCAATTGATACCACCAAACGAGAACCCGTGTATTGTAACCAAAGCTGAATGTGTATCCTTCTTGTTGTAAGATTTGATGGAGGGACGATGGTCAGGTTTGCAGGCACAGGAAACATGACTGTACCAGAATTCTTACTGGGAGCTTCCAAGGTCAGCTCGCACTTCTTGAAAAGAAAACTGCCACGAAAGGTATTTTCATTCTGGTACAAACTCTTCGCTTGTTCCCAGTGTAAGATCGTCAAAGTTTTCCAACAGTTCGTCTAATCGGACATCAGGGAAGTCCGCCTCATTGTCCACATCCCCGTCCGAGTCCGTCGTCCTTTCTGGAGCCGGTGCCGCATCAACCTCCATCGCGAATTGTGCTTTGCGCTTGCCGCCTTTTCTACCCGCTGCCCGACTCTCTGTGGTCGCTGGAGCCATTCGCGCATCTTGCACTGGTGCTTTGTAGAGATTGATCGCGCCACGCATTTCTGGGTCTTCTTCTAGTTCGCGCAAGAACATTTCATAGTCTTCTTCGACCTTGCGCTGGTCACGGCCACCCATCCGACCGACAACACCACGCCCACCGCCAGTTTCGCCCTCCTCCCCAGCCTCTTTGCCAATACTCCGCAGCCGCCATGTGCGGGCCTTGCTTTTCTTCCTCCGGTTCGGGTACGCTTTCTTGACCAGGACAACATCTGGAAGGTGTTCTGCCCGCAAAGCAGCGTAGTCTTCTGAATTGAAGTTCGCATTTGTCAGGTGATAACCAAACGCAGTGTCTCCTGGCTGGAGGATGGCCCCGAGATGGGTGCGGGTGTGGAATATTTGAGCCGCCCGCCCGCCATACGACTCGTCGTCCATCATTACATCGTCTTCCTCCCCATGAGCCCGAAAAGCACCGGCCAACGCCACTTGTGCGTCTGCCATGACATATTTCCCGCGGGTCCGCCCATCAGGCTCGATGTCGAGCACGGTGAACTCGACTAGGTCAGTTACGGCCGCTAGACTATCGAATGGTGTTCGCCAGTATGAGGTTGTCGAGACGTCAGCAATTTGCAGCGTTGTCGGGTCAAGCAGCTGCAGTGAGTTGCCGATGCGCGTGCAGATTGTCAGCGGATGGATGTTGCTCATCGAGCGGGCGAGTTTTGACGGAATGCAAACAAGGTCGTCCTTGCAGACAGGGGCAATTTCTACCGAGTACGTGAACTTGTAATTTGCTGTATTCGAATGTGTGTCCGAAGATAGTAGTTGTTCTGAAGATTTAGATCTAAGAAGGGGTTAGCAAGACGAAAGAGGTTAGACAACAGCGCACCTTACGGGCACAACACTTGTTAGAAACTCGACCATCTTGATAGCATGGCTCCTCTGGCTGTAAAAAAAGTCCAGGCCGTCTTTGACCTCCTTCACTGAGATCGTGTCCTTTTGCGCGTTATGTTTGAGGATCAACTGCTCTAGGAACAGGAATGTCCGCTTATGGGGCACTTTTTGTCGGACCTGGACCAGTGCCTTCCATGTATTCTTCGCCGCCAACCGCGCACAGTCGGGACATTGGCCGTACTGCACTAGATACTCGAGTTCAAACGTTTGTTCGAGTATAGTGTTGATCAAGACCTGAATCAATGGGTAAATGAGCGCGTAGCAAAGGTATGGCGCACTTCTTTCTGGATCGTTATCGATACTCGTAGCCGCTTCGAATGGGGCTCTGTCCAGATAAAATGGGCCTCGGTTAGTCGGACCTTGTTCAGCCCTTTTAGTTTGCGGAGGCAGATCGACAGCAGTTCAGGCGATTCAGGCTGCGCAAGCGTCCAAGTTTGTGGTGGAGACAGGAATCGCTCGCAATTCCTGCAAAACGCGACGGATGCTGCGATAGAAAATGGATTAATGGAGAAGCAATGGATTGAAATCGTGTCGACGCGCCTTGCTTTGGGATACCCTCCGTAATATCGATACTGGCTCTCGTTTCCAGCCCATACGTCTCCAGAGAGAACAGACTCACGAGTTACGCAGGCAAGCAACGCAGAGGTTAGCCGAGTTGGGCGCAATCGGTGTTCCTACAGGACATGTCAGGCTCGTCAATCGCTGTAGTGACGATAATACCACAATCGGCGCAGAGAATTTGGTGTACTGCGGGTCCAGGGACGAATTCCATCGAGATTGTGGTGGTGGTTCAGCAGAAAGTTGGTTTGGTCAGCGGGGCCGAAGCAAAAAGTATGACAAATTCACACGCTGATGATCTAATCGCCTCTTGCTGAAATGTTGCGCTGATGGTAGGGCTTGCTGGAGCATCTAGCGATGTTCTGCACACAGTCCTAGTCGCCACGCAGATACTTATTTCAAATCTACTTGCCTGCAGGATACAAGAAGTCTGATCAACGGAGATGCATGTCACGGGACTGCTGGGTCTCATTTCCTACCTCCATGTTGGCTGAACAAGATTGGGCGTCCTTCCGCGGCCTTCATCGTCTATTGTGGCCTTCAAAAGCTCCCTCTGATGAACTTCTTGAGCCCCCAGAACTCACAAAGTTCATCGACTCCGCGAAGCCCTTTGAACCTGAGTCAACAAATTCCAAACCCAACCTCCTGCCCTCCAACATGCTCGTAGAGGACCAGGATTTCATCTCAAATCAAGACATCGCCATGGAGGACGACTCGATTGAAGACGAAGAAGCTAACGATGTGAAGGGGAATCAGTCGCCAAATATCCGATACGTCAACCCTCTTTTTGCACCAAGTGTTGGCGGTCTGTGCTCTCCGAGTCCTTTTCGACATACATCGAGAGAAAGCCGCGTTCATAGTGAGGGACGAATATTTGGAGGCCTTCCGCTATATTTTCTTCACATATGAACCCAGTTCTCCACAAATTTTTCGAAGATTTTTCATTACTGGACAGCCTGGAATAGGTGAATAGCTTTCTAGCGTGAATTCTCATCTCATTGTCTTCCAGGAAAGAGCTGCTTTGCTTGTTATCTGCTATTCCGTCTGTTGGCGCTTGGAAAGACAGTATTCTTCTATTTCGGTGGCCAAGATGTCTGCTATTTTGATCAAAAGGGCGCTCACTCGGCCGATTTCTCCCCTCGAACCAACAAGGCTGCAGAAAACTTGAGCAAAAGTTGGGTCGTGATAGATGTCGAAGACACGAAATGGGAACCCCCTGCTGCATTACGATCTGCATATGGCGTCGTCTGGACTTCGTCCCCTCAAGAGGAGCGCATGAAGGGGTTCAAACAGAAATTCGGTGGTAAGATATGGTACATGAAGACGTGGTCATCCGAGGAAACCCAAGCCACAAGGTGCGCAGATTCAACGCAAAATCTCAGCAACGACCACTCAGTTTTTTAGGACATTACTTGGTCTCAATCAAAATGCACTTGAGAACAGCCAAAGTGTTGCCGGACCGATTCCACGAGCGCTCTGGGGTATCGAGTCATCAGTACTCAATGATACATTCACGATCGACCAATATATCGGACAAGCTCTCCAAAAGAACATGTTTGGTTTTGCGTCGCTCGAAGATTTTGATAAAGGTGCTCAGCCAATGCACCGAGTTTTCCGCATCGAGCCTCTGGTCGTCGAAAACAACGGACAACTCATCATCCACCGCAGCAGTTTCTCCACTCATTTCCTTTCCTCCGCCATCGTCCGGAGAATTCCGGTGGTCGCTCAAGCATTCCTTCAGACCCTGAAAGGACAGCTGGCCGCAGCATTCGATATCCCTGGTACTCGCTCGCTAGCAGGCAAAGTTTTCGAAGGTCTCATGCACCATGCTATCCTTAATAAAAAGTGGCTTCCTGACTGCTTCGGTTCTCGTATAACTGCCTCTGTAGACCTTGTTGGGCAGTTCGACAGCTTCACCACCGCAACCGACCCTCCTACCACTGTGCCACTCTATCTCCTCCCCAATTCGCTTACTTTCGCAGCCGTGGACTCGATCATCGTCACTCATTCGAACATCGGCCTGGTTCAAGTCGCCGTTGGGGAGACCCATAGTTATGACTTCGCCAAAATGTTACGACTTCTCTCACGACTTAAGAATGGAGCTCGGATTGATGTGGATAAGACTGAGATGAAGCAGTTCATGTACTGTCTTGTGGGCAGTAATGGCGATCGTGTTCGTGGTCTCGTTGCTGCCGCTCAAGAAGGCCTGGACAAGCTGTTGCGAGCTGAGAATGGGCTTCAACTTGCCAAAGGACTGGGTCGCAATACGAAGTTGCCTGATATCTGGGTTCAAAGGTTGAAAAAGCTAACAGTCGTGGGGTACACATTTGATCCCAATGCGGGTTTTACCCGTGTGTTCAAGTAACAAGTTGCACAATCGACAACGTTTGCAGCTCCATAGTCATCCATGTAATATGTACCAACTTGTAAACAAAAAAAGTCTGCGTTAGATTGTCGTTGTCGTTCAGCAGGAAGTTGGTTTGGTGAGTGAAAGTAAAAAAAAATATGACAAATTCACATTGATGATCTAATCAGAGTTGGGCGATATAGCACTCTGAATCAAGTACAAGAAGGATTAGCCGAAAAAGTCTGTTGCTCCCTCAAAGTCGAATTCTGCTGTTGGTAGTTTCTGCTTGATCAGGTCCCACACCCAGTCCATCGGTGTGCCGTAGGTCATATCCCGACAGGTGCAGGTAGCGCCACCTCCGGTCAGGATGGCAACCGCTTTATACTGCGTGTCGAAGATAAGAGAACCAGAGTCCCCGGGAAGCGAAAAGACCCTCTGCTCGAGGGGTGGGCGCACTTTCTCGCGGTTTGGATGGGGAAGGATGGGTATTTCGAGCGAGTCCCGTGGATGTTCGGAGTCATAAAACCGTCGATGTGATTCAAATTTGGACATCAGACCAACCGTGGTTTGGCTCTCTGAGCAGCCGCGCTTCAAGACATATCGACCATTATTATTATTGTCATCACGGGTCGGCAAGATGCTCTTGATCTTTGCGAGGCCGTCGAGTGGATATATACAGTTCGGGATCCGATAAAGGAGAAGCCGGAATTGTTCATGGGACAACGCTAAACGAACAAGTTAGGCAGCTCAAGCAATTTAACCCATCGGACTCACTACATAAGTGGAATAGCATTTCCGAGAAACCCTTCTTTGAAGCTGCGTTTGTCAAGGTGGATGACACAAAAGTCTTTGGTGTACCCATACGGCTGGGTACTGTCCTCGATTTTTGGTGCCCACAAGATGTGCCCGATGACTCGATCTCCCTCTTGACTCCAATCTTTGGACAAGCGTGAAGCGAACGCAGTCACAGCTTCTTTGACGGGAGTTATTGCAGCGACTTGTTGATTGATCCTAGAGATCGTTGGCTCGTCTTGATGAAATGCTCGGAGTTGTTCAAAGTTCACTTCCTCGCTCTCCAACAATTCAATCTTCTGGTCAACTAGCTCTTGAAAATCTTTGAAGCTTTGTGCGTTCATTAACACGACCTCCTTCTTCGGTGCAGCTGTTTTGCAGATGAAAAAATGGGGGTAGCAGTGACAAGGCAGCACAGCACGCACAGGGGTGGTAATTATACTCCTCGTTGTCCCATGGTCGAAGAGATTGTGACGAGCAGTTAGCGCATACAGTTCCTGCCCTGCTCGAAAATAAGCGGTCAAGGTGCCTTGTTTATGTGCTCCTTTGAGGGAAATATTGAGGGGAAGCGCAACCGATAAATTGTCGACAAGAGCATGGAGCGGATCTGCCGGAAGGACCACGGGGAGGAGAGGCTTGCTACAGAGTTCTGGTACTGATTCTCGGAACGCGACTTCAACCCGTGAATGTAATTTCTTCTCGATGATGTCGCGTATGATTGTGAGCGCCAGTCTTTCCGCTTCTTGGGCAGTCAGAGTATCGGGTAAAACCCCAATCCAAATCGTGGGCGGCGTGGTATGATGTTTGGGACGGTCCCCCTGCTCGTCGTCGGCTTCAACGGGAAAGGAGAATGCAACCATGTCGATGGAAGTGAACTTTGCACTCGCTTGTATGAGGTTTTCCACCACCTAAGAAGTCGACTAGTTGGCGAGATAGACCTGAATTTATGCAGAAGCACGCACCTTTGTTCTGATATCATCCCAAAGAAGCGGGTTCACGCAGAGCTCGTGGTCAGGGGGTATAGCTTGCAGCCGCATCTCTCTGAATTGCGGTTTCTGTGGCGTTGGCTTGGGCCATAGATCTTTGGACGTTCGGTAGATTAATTTTGGTCCACCCAACACATAGTTGCCTCTGGGGTTCAATTGAAGTCCCACACCATGGTAATAGTGAAGCTGTTCGAAAGGATCGACCTCGTTGTGCATTTGTGATGACGAGGCCAACAATGGTTCGTTCGCCGCCGTCGCCACTGTGAGCGGTTCGGTTCTGTCAGCTGGTCGATGACTATTGTAAAGGGGGTCGTTACTGACGATCGAGTCAGCAACAGACCATCGCTCCTGAGCTGATGACGAGAGAGCGAATAAGCGAGTGGGTTTGGGAATTTTCACACTCTGGGCAAGTATATTATAGTTTCAATAAGGTACTTCGTGGAAGAGCTGCGACACCGACTCTCCATAATGTGACCTCCGAATAACTTCGCCTGAAAAAATCAATCCAGGGCGATACGAGAGACAACTGTAACTTACCCAGTGTCGGACCGATGTCAATGACCTCGATCTTAGAGCACTGTTCTTGGTTAGCCGTCTGAGGTAGAGTGTTGGTGACGATGAGCTTTTCTAGTCGACTCTCCATAACAGAGGTCAATGCATTCCCGCTCAGGATTCCGTGGGTCACAATAGCGTAAACAGAGGTGGCTCCAGCATCAGCAAGATGGGATGCAGCAAGAACCAAAGGTTCCGCAAGTATCAGCCATATCGTCCACTAGAATGGCGATTTTACCCGCAACATGGCCAACGAGTACCATCCTCGAGACTTCGTTTGCCTTTTTGCGCTCTTTGTGGAACAGAGCAAAGTCCACACCAAGACGATCTGCCATCGAGGTCGCACTGGATGATACCTGAGCCAACCGTGGTAGCATTTTGGAGGGCAACACACCGTTTGGCACCTCCAGCATCCGGAGAAACGATGACGACGTCGTTCAAGTCGAAGTGGGTACGGATATAGAGGATAACAGACGGCTCGGCGTAGAGCTAACCGGTGTTAGATGTGAGGGCCACTACGACAATCGTCTTACACTGACCGAGTGTAAGTTTGGAAGAGGAGACTGGCGGATAGCGACTTACTTGTCCACTGGAACATCAAAAAAGCCCTGGATTTGGGAGGCATGAAGGTCCATCGTCTACAAAACAAGTATACGATGAGCTTCAACGGAAGGGAGAAGTGGGCAAGAAGCGCACGATGACATGGTCGCAACCCGAGCGCTGGAGCATATTCGCGACGAGTTTGGCGGTGATAGGTGCCCGGCTTTTGTCTTTTTTGTCCTGGCGAGCGTAGGGGAACAGGGGGATGACGGCGGTAATGCGCTTTGCACTGGCAATCTTGCAAGCGTGGATCATGATGCAGAGCTCCATGAGAGAAGTGTTGACCGCCCCACAACCGGTGTTGACGATGTAAACATCGTCCTCGCGGACGGATTCTGGTGGAGCTGAGCATCTGGCCCTAGTCGGCTGGAAGTGGAAGGCGTACCTTCAATCCGAACGTTGTTCTCGCCAATACTGTTTTTCGTGATGTCTGCACGGGAGAGGGGAAGTCCAATCCTTCATGACGCCTTGAGACGATCACACGAGCAGAAAACCAGACCAAAAACTACCGGCGAGCGATAATCTCTGCTAGTTCTGGGTGACTGGTCCCTGTGAAAAAGTTCAGTTTCACAGCAAGATGAGGATAGGACAAGAGCGAACCAGAGAAAATCTTGATTCCAGCACCAGAAAGCATGGTGGATGGGGAAGAAAATCGATCGAGAAACGTGCGTGTTGACGTGACCGAGTGGCCCGGGCATTCACAAGGAACCAGTACAGAACACAATGAATAATGCACAGAAAGAAACAAAGATCTTCTGCTCTCCCGTGCCCCATTTTGTGTCCTGGCCCATTCGTCAAAGACGTTTGCTTGCAAGGCCGTCTGCTTCACGTGACACTTCTAACTTTCTCTTCTCCCATCATGGCTCTCAGCTTCATTGGGTGCGACGCGTTGGTGCCACACACAACGATATCTGACCACGTCTCCTTAGCAAACCCATTTCCCTCATTTCCCACTCTGATGTACGCTATCGAGGAATTTTGGCTGGTATCGACCCAGCCGCGTCCACTATCCAGCTTTCAAATGGTTGGTTTGCAGATTTATTCTCTCGTTCCTACGCGCGCTAATTCTATCACAGTTTTCTCAATGGGCACCGAGTCCCGTCGTCCTATGAATGAATATATTCCACCAGTCCAGGAACCCTACCAATACATCATTTTTCGCGCGTCTGAAGTGAAAGATCTTTCTGTCGACGAGCCCCCACCGTCTCACAGAAACATCACCGACGATCCCGCCGTCATTGGGGTGATTTTCCCTTCTTTTTTTGTTGTCTCCAATTCTTACTGTCATTTGTTAGGCCTCCGCGCCAGTGGCCCCTGCTGCAGTACCAGTACCAGTGGCAGCACCAACTTACGCCCAACAAACTGCGCAGCAAATTCCCGCTCGTCAGCAGCCTCCGGCTCAACAGCAGCAGACACAGCAGCAACAGCCTCGCGCGGCTGCCCCACGTCACCGCGACACACAAAACCAGACCGCCATCAATAATGCTGCGGCATCACTCGAGACCGTAGAACGTGCTTTGGGGGACCTACGAGTTTCCAACACAAACAACAACAACAACAATGGTGGTGGCGGCGGTGGTGGTCGGAGGCCCCGTTCTCGTCGCCAGGATGGCCAAGCTACTGGCGGAGTCTCGGTGCCTGCGGTGGACTTTGATTTCGCGAGCATGAATGCGAAATTCGACAAAGCAGCGTTGGCTGCCCGCTCTACTCACAACGATGGTGGAAGCGACCGCACTAATCCCAGCGACGACGACGACGACTCCAAAAACAAAGGAGCGTATAATCCGCAAAAGTCATTCTTCGACTCTTTGTCTTCGCCGCCACCGATCCAGCGGGGTGGCCAAGGAGGGCGTGGGCGCGGACGCGGGAGAGGCGCTTTCAATCGACGGGAAGAAGAGCGGGAACGCAATGTCGCGACATTTGGTGAGCCAGGCGGTGTAGGTCTCCTTGGGCCTGGCAGTTATGTTGGTGGCTGGGGTGGACATGGTGGAAGACGAGGAAATGGGAGAAGGAGGGGCCCAGGTCGTGCTTCTCAGCAACAACAGGCGCAGTAGTTGTTTTTTTTCAGTTCTTTGCCAGTGGTCAATATCAACAAAATAACCGCATTATCATCAGTCCTACAAGGGTCTAAGTAGGTGTTCGTGTACTGTAATTTTTATAGTCTGCTCCACCAGCATCTAAAGAATCAGCTCAGGCTCCTTGTCGAGTTTGACATGGATTCCCCCGTGGTTAGCGGCCCCTAGCATCCGGTGGTAGGCGTTGAGGTTCTTGTGCATCGTGATTTGGAAGACGGAGGCCGTTCCTTGCCTGGAATGGTGTCAAAACATGCTTATTGAACGTGCGAGTGTGTCAACTGACCGGCTAGCAATCGTCGACCATGCCAGGAAGAAAGCCCAAGTCCTGAACCATTTTTCACCGTACTTCTCGACAACCTTGTCTTTGTTTGACAACCAGTTGAGGTACCAGCGCCAGATCGTGGCAGAGTAGTGGACACCAAGCACGTCGATGGATTTGATTTCAAAGTTGGCTTGTTCCAGCTAGCAGAGCTCAAGTCAGCAAGTTACTACGATGGAGAGGGCGGCGAATGACCTTGTTGACGACCCAAGCAAGTGAGGCAGACGCGTCGGCACCAGGAAACACATATTTGTTCATGAAGAGACCCCACACGAGATCCTCAAATTGCCATCCTTGGCGCAGTCCGGCAACTTGGAATACGAATAGACCGTCATCAGCGAGGAGCTCGTACATTTGGGCAAGGAAGGCCGAGTAGCGACGGACACCAACATGCTACAGTAAACTTGGTGAGAGGCCACTTTTTTTGAGAGATTTACGCACTTCGGCCATTTCCAAGCTGACAATCTTGTCGTAAATTCCGGCCCCATGTGGGATTTCGCGATAGTCGCAGCACAAGATGCGGGCTTTGTCAGCAGGGATCTAATCGCAAAAGATAAGATATCAGAGTCGAAGTCAAATGATAGCAAGCCTACACCGTTGTCCGCAATTCGTTGTGTTCCAAATTTGGCCTGGTTTTTCCCTAGAGTAACTCCAGTAGCATCACAGCCAAAGTTCTTTGCAGCGTAAGCAACCAGTGTTCCCCAGCCACAACCAACATCCAATAAACTGAAGCAGTGTAAGGAGGTTACTAGACAGAGAGTTGGACATACCGGTCAGAGGACTTGAGATTCAGTTTGTTGCAAACAATTGCGAGTTTGTTGTCCTGTAGCGTCTCCAGAGACTCGAAAGTGTCGGGGGAGAGGACAATGCCAGATGTATAAATCATGCGTGGACCCAAAAACCTGGGGAGAAAAATGAGTCCTCCAATGACTTGACGTTTGAGGTGAATACCATTCGTAAAAGTCGTCTCCTCTGTCGTAATGCCCGCGAACCTGCTCCTCGTCTTGGTTTTGGGAGTGGACAATAACCTCGGGTAAAAAGTCCATGAAGACGTAGCGGAACAGTTCGGGAGTGAAGTTGAACTTGGCCCAGTCATGTCGCTGCTCGAGAATGTCAAGAACGTCACCTTTGACGCGCTTTTCAGTACGGGTGACGCGACGCGACGGTGGTCACTCACCATTGAAGTCAATCTTGGAGTCGAAGTAGGCGTCGTGGAAGACCTGCATCGGGATCTTGTTCGTGCCGTTGTAAAGCTTTTTGAGCTCGGGGTCCTTAATGGTGATGTAGGTTTCGATGTCTTTGCCTGGGAGAGAGACCTTCTCGTTCTTTCGTGCACCGTGGCTGGACATGAACGACCAATAGGCAACCGTCACGGGCACACCGGTGAGCAGAAGAAGGAAGAGGTAGGTCTTGAAACCGCCATACTTGACTATGGGGGTAACGCTCTTGATGATGTACGGGACGACGAGAACGACTGCAGCAAGTTGGTAGTTGGAGAACTGTGCATTGCCCTCCGCGAGACCGATGACCGGGGCATTTTTTATGGAGGCCAGTGTCGTAGCCTTGACGGTCAAAGACGACATGACGGACAAGAGCAAAGAGTCGGCCCACTAAATATTTTGAATTTTATGCCAGCGCATTACGTACGTAAGTGCGCAGCCGACCCCGGTATCCCCATAATTACTGGAACGGCACTCGATGAGCTGGTCTTGACCACGACCAGCCTCCTTGGGAGTATTTTGAACCCACTGGTAGCTTTACTACACGAGCACAACTGAATTCACAAGCCCTGCGTTATCACGCCTGTCACAGCTCGCGTCTCTCTCTCTTTGTCCTCTCCAAGTCTTCTCCCATCTTGTGGTTGGGTGGCGGGATATCGGCTCCCATGAAGAATAAGAACAAGCAAACCAAGTTTCCCGTCGTGCGCAGTGATGTCTCCAGTCAAGCTATGCCAACTCTGAACGGACATAGGCGCGCATAAAGCGAATCATGCAGAAGGACGAGGAAGTGGGCAAGGTAGCCCAAGCGACGCCCATTGTCATATGTGGGTCTTATCTACTTCATTTGAGCCCAACTGGAACTTCGTATAGCGAAGGCACTCGAGTTGTTTCTCGGACTCATCATTGACGAAGCGAGCAAGGTCACGTTAGAACGCGGGTCGAAGAAGGTGGAGGCGTATCATCTGTGCGTCAATAATCCTTCTGTGTACGGAGAAAAACACATATATTCGCTCCAGGAAACATGCCGTTGTGACAACGGAGATGCTCGATTTTCTCAAAGAACTCGTAGAAGCAGTACCCGATCCTTCTAACGGGGGGACTATTGACCTTGAGGAAGCTGCTGCAGAGAAGAAGAAGAGAGGGAAAGGTAAGAAAGCGGCTGTTAACAATGACGATGGTGAAGCTCCCCCTGCTCGCAAACGGAGAAAGCGCAAGGCCGATGAGGAGGTTGAGATGAAAAGTGAACCAGACAACAACGAAGAAGATAACATGGACGAGACAGACGACCATCATGAGGAGGACAGCGACTGGGAAGACAAGCCTTATATTCCCAAACGGTAGTTCTACACAAGCTCAACCTCTCCGTTCGCAATTTGATCAGTTACCGCTGAGAAAGGTAGAAGCATTAAACTGCCTCGCGACATATCAGCGACCTTTCCGCTTCGTTGTATTAGCTACGAGGCAAGGAATATGGCACTGCTGGACTGACCGATGTGTTCGTGCAATGGTATTCTTCAGTGCGTGAGCAAAAACTGGCCTTGTCGTCTCTGGTTCCGTTACTGGTCAAGATTTGAGTAGGCGATGAAGAAATGGGCTCAATATTTACCCATCGGCGGCATGATTAACTTGGGGCTATCGTCTAGCGCCGTTTGCGACTCCGGCAAACCTTGAAGAACCGATGAATGAAAGTGTCGATCGAGCAAATGCGCGTGTCTGACGGAGTGAACAAACTGGCCAGAGTTGAGTGAAGAAACACACACCGGCTAGCATAATCGCGCTCTGCAGCGGTTATCCGGGTTTGTACTTCTTCATTCGCAATGATGTGTCGCGCATATTTCTCGATCTAACTGGGCAGTATACGACCATCATCCAAGAGAACCAACTAAGAACGTACCTTGAATAATCTTGTTCTGACATAAGACCGGACGATGAACTTGACGCGTTCCACCTCGGTTTGAGCGAGCATTATACGCATATGGTCTTCCTCAGATGTTGAAGGGTCCCCTCGAAGAAGTTGGATCGTCTCGGACTGGATGTCTAATGAAAACACGTCCTTTTATATGTGCGCAGTGGACAGACTTGTCGTCTAAGATGGTCGAGTATTGACCCAAGCAAGACATCTTGAGCCGGTAATATATCTGGCGCGTGTCGCTCATTCATCCAGTGTCGCGTAAGTTGTTGCAACGGAGTTTGGTACCCAGGCAGCTCTTCGAGATCGATGTCGGGCATTGGCTCGTCTGCTTCATCATCATCGAGGGTGGCCGCGTTCTTTGAGCGTTGATACTGTGCTTCCCAATGGCTCATGATAGGCACGTCACAAATCGTGACAACCTTGCCTGTTTTGCTCCCACCCTCACTCGAACACCTTCCCAGTGCCTCTGTGTGTGGTTGACGTGTGCCGCAAGACCTCCCAAGGTGAAAATGTCTGACGCCGAGATGAAACTTGAAATGGGGGATGAGGCTCCAACTCAAGTAGACGAGCTTGACGTGGCTTTGGCTCGTTTGCAAGAGTCGCCTCACGACACAGAAGGATGGAAACGTGCGATTGATCTTGCGGAATCGATGAACGACATGTCCCGTATTCGCAAGGCCTACGACGCCTTGCTTAAACAGTTCCCCAACAACCCGTCTGCCCAAGCCGCCTACATCAACCACTTTCTTGTTAGCAAAGCGACATCGAGCGAGGCGGAAGAGCTTCTCAACAAATTCTTGCGAACGTCACCAGCGGTCGATCTTTGGCGCTGCTATCTAGACTACGTACAAGGAACGAACCAGCACAGCGCCCAGACTCGCGAGACGATCCGCAAAGCGTTCGAGTTTGCACTTAACCACATCGGCCAAGACCGCGACAGCGGCTTTATCCACGCCGCTTATATTAAGTTCCTCAATGAAGCAGAAACGACGACGACGTGGGATACTCAACAAAAAATGGATGGTCTTCGAAAAGTCTACCATCGCGCTGTTCAAATTCCGCTCGACAATGTCGAGAAACTCTGGTCTGACCTCGAAGCTTTCGAGAACGGGCTGAACAAAATCACCGCCAAGAAGTTCATGGCTGACTTGTCTCCCGCCCACATGCAGGCTCGCACCGTCCTTCGCCAGCTGTCGACCCATCTCAATGGCTTGAATCTCAACAGTCCCACGAATGGCCTGATCCTCCCGGTCCTCCCATCATTCAATCAAGCCGACCGCCAGCTCGTTGCGCGATGGAAAGCTTACCTCAAGTGGGAAGAGGGCAACCCTTTGGAAATTGACGACAAAGATAAAGCGGCACTGATCAACCGCATCCAACTAATGTACCGTAAGGCTTTAGTGCGCATGCGATATTATCCCGAAATATGGTGCGTGGTTATTTTATTTGTTTGTCTTCTAACCCTCTTCAGGTTCATGGCTTATTCCTGGAATCTCAGCGTCGGCAACACCACCGAGGCAATTTCCATATTGAAACAAGGTTTGGAAGCAAACCCAGACAGGCATGTGTTCATTTTTCTTGATCTTCCTGTACTGATTACAAGACAGCCACTCGCTCACCTACGCATATGCTGAGCAACTCGAGCTGCTCGAGCTCAACAGCAAAAAGGAACAGCGGGAATATGCTGAAGTCCATGCTCTCTACGAGCGCTTCTTCGCCATCCTACGGGCTAATCTAGTCCGCTTGTCACAGGTGGCCACTGTTGCCCCCACTGATTCGAATTCCTCGCCCCCGGATCCATTTGGAGACGAGCCAATGCCGGATGCGACCAAGGAGGCCAACAGTGTCGAAAATCCCATGGCCGAGGAACTTTCGGAGCACAAGAAGCAATACTCCAATGTGTGGATCAATTATATGCGTTTTTCGCGGAGATCACAAGGGCATAAAGCGGCGCGCGATGCGTTTGGGAAGGCGAGGCGGGATGAATATACTGGTTGGGAAGTCTTTGAGGCGGCGGGTATGTTCTCTTTTGATTTTGTCTTCGCAACTAACCATCGTCAGCTCTTACGGAATACAGATGCAATTTGGATGATGGCCGCGACGTTGCTGCTCGCATCTTCGAGATGGGAATGAAGAAATATGCAACTGAGCCGCAATATGTCCTGAGCCATCTTGGGTTCTTGTTGACAGTGAACGACGAGAACAGTATGTCGCTATTTTTTTCCTTTCCTTGACATCTAAATGGGCACGTAGATGCGAGGGCTTTATTTGAGCGTGTGATCAACACATTCACACCCCAGCAAGCCAAGCCAATTTGGGAGCGATGGTCAAGGTCCCAGTACATGTACGATGACCTGAAAGGTGTTTTGGAACTGGAACGACGAATGGCGGAGGTATATCAGAATGGTGAGTGCCCAGGCAATCGGATGAGATGTTTTTTTAAAAATCAAATTAGATGCACCCATCAAACGCTTTGCGCAGCGTCACACATATCATAGCATCGACCCAATTGCTGACCATGATTTGGGATTTTCCAAATCGCGCAAACAAAATCAAACAGCACCTGGAACACAGGCTACACCCAGTAACGGCCCGAATTCTCTTGCGCCAAGCAGCTCGTTGCCAAACCTTAACTCGAATAAACGACCGCCCCCTCCACCGGACCGGAAACCGCCAGAGCACAACAAGCGTCCACGGCAGGATCGCCCACCAGCGCGATACTCGCCACCACCACGAAGGGATCCTTCCCCAGCTCGCAGTAAGGAGGATCCACGACACGTGACGCTGCCTGCAAAGCTGTACTGGTTTGTGCAGCAACTGCCCCCGCCGGAGACTTACGATGGCAACTATTTTCTGTGTGAATATTGTCTGTCAGGCTGATAGTTGTAGGCCCGCTCTTCAACGCGGAGCTTCTCCTCGAAAGGCTCAAGGGTGCGGTCATTCTCAGCCAAAACAAGTCGCGTACTCCGCCTCCACAATCCTCTGGTCAGCCGTCTTCGCCTCCAACTGGTCGATGTGAGTTACTGAAAGGTCGTTGTCTATGTTGCTGATGTTGTGGACACAGCGAATCGCCCACCTCCGGACTACGGACCATATCAGGGGCCCAACAGCAATCCCACGAGACGAGGACGATATTGAGCGGTTCGAGCGGTTCAAGCATTACAAATCATTGTAGCATAGTTCATCTCTCAGAAGTACTACTCCCTTCGAAACTTCAATGTAGCAATACTTGGAAATAATAGATGATAATAAGAGTACAGAATTCTAAAGTAACGTTCACCGAGCATACGGATGGTAGTTGTGCTGGCCGCGCACTCCCACTCGCTGAGGGCCCACTCCAGCGTTACCCGCCATAGGGCCAGTTGGTGGTCCATTACCGGTTTGGGCACGCGGCCCTCGAGGAACATTGGGGCCCGGTCCACCTCCCGGTGCAACTGGCGGAGTGCCTCGTCCCATTCCTGGCGTCATCCCCATCCCTCGGCCCATTCCGGCCATCATTCCACCCATTCCCATCATACCCATGCCATTCCCCATACCATTTCCCATAGCGTTTCCCATCATGCCCATCCCCCCTCCACCGCCCGCCATCTGAAACATACGCGTATACAAAGCCGCAAGTGCCTGAGGGTCGAACGGCGTCCCCGCACCAGCGCTGAAGTTCCCCGCTGCTTGCCCATTTCCGCTAAAGTTGTTTGCAGCGTTGAAGTTGGTGGTCGCAGCGCCAGTTGGGTTGTCTTCACTGAAATTGTCGCGCTGATACCGTGGTTGCGCAAGTTTTACGTCAATCTACAATTCAAGTTAGTGCCACACGAGCTGTGGGACGAGACTGACGAACCAGTTTGCCGTCGATTTCGAGGTTCCCGAAGCCAAGGAAGGGTTGAACGTCAGTGTCCTCAAAAGAGACAAATCCAAAGCCTTTGCTGCGGCCAGTCTCGCGGTCTAACATCACGGTCGAGTCGATGACCTTTCCGAACTGCGAAAAGAACGCTCGCATAGACTCAGATGTCACACTGCCAGCGAGACCGCCGATGAAAAGTTTAGTGGCACGCTGATGCTCTTGTCTGGGAATGGCGCGTTTGGGGTCAATCTGGAATGCAACTTCAGATGACGAATGGATAGAAGAACATATCTTACGATCTTGCCATCGAGTACATGCTCACGAACCATCACAGCGTTCACACTCGCGGGATCGTCGAAGGTCAAAAAAGCGAAGCAACGGGAACGTCCGGCGGCGTCGCGCATGATGGTACAGGCATCAACTTTTCCGAACTGGCTGAAGTAATCGCGGAGACCGTCTAGAACATAGATTGAGCCACGCAACGTTGCGACATAGCGCAGAGAATTACCGTCTGTCGTATCCCAGTTTAGGCCACCAATAAACATTTTGCTGTGGATCCGCGAGTCGATTCAAGGGAAAAGGACATGGAAGAGATACGAAAAAGGTGATATTAGCATCCTGTAGGCTAGAACAAAGCATCACGAGGAAAGAACCAGAGACTCTACTTGTGGCTGCAGACATACAGACAGCGGCGGAGTACGCTAGCTAGGGCTAGGCTAGAAACTGACTACTCGCCAAAGAATATATCGCCAGACAAAGCACACAGTAGACCTGGAAAGGCGGGAATGACCGGGTAGAACAAAAGGCTCACCCTTCATCTTTCATCTCCGAAGGCCTGACGCTCCGCTCTCCGCCACCATGGTAAGCACCATCAGACGAGATGCCACCGCCTCGGTAGTCATTTGTTTGGGGTTGCTCGTAGGTTGGGATTTGCTGAGTCACAGACGAAAACGTTGCTATTGGTTGCCCAGTCACTGCTGGTCTTGGAGGTTGCACGGTGGCAGCTGGGACAGGTTTGGGCGCGACGGCGGCGGGTGTTGGTTTGGCGTCTGGCTTGAGGGGTTCAGGTTCAGTCGCATCGACGTTTCCCTGGGTTGGGTCGAATTCGGTTTCATCGTTCCCATAGAGGTCTAGCGTGGCATTAGTTGAACCGTTCGTTGAGCAGAAAAAAGTGGGAGGTACCGCCATAGAGATCTGCGTCGAGGTCGGACATGGTGGTGGTATGGAGAAGAGAGAGTCGATGGTGATGTGACAGGTGACCGACCCCCTTAGCATGGGCTCTGAACAACGCCAAGTTATTATAAACTCCGTTTTCAATCGTCGCAATGCCGCTGGCCAGCTTGAAGAGACGTACATGGCCCATGTTAAGATCTGGGAGGATGCTGGGCCTGAAGGCGGTGGGAAGAAACCACGCTACATCCTTCTATCTCGTAGGTCCAATGTGGGGCCTAACGCGCTCCACTTATTTATCTTACAACACAGAAACGCTGAACGGAAACGGATTCCTGCACAAATCGAAACTCAACACGAATGGCACATTTTCAGTGGGAAAGACGTGGAGGTTACCAGAACTTCGTGGTTTGGCGGTGGTGAACGTACGTGTTGGTCCAACCGATCTTTACTTCGTCAAGCCCATACACTGCAGCCCACGAACTTCAATATTACCCTTTCCAGGACATATAGATGGCAAACTGAAAACGCCGTTGATCAAACGAGGTTTCTTGAGACAGTTATCCGACTCTTTCGTGCGGTCGCCCCGGGCACTCAATTGCAGTTGGAAGGTATTGAAGACAGCTCCGGTGAGTGTCTTGTTGACATGGGATTCGGTCATCCTTGAATGAAGTATGCAACAACAGCGAGACCAGATGGAACTCGGCGACCAAATAACAACCAACGGGCAGCTACTCCCGACCACGAACAGCGCGCTCCATCTCCCCCTCCTCCCAGATCTCAATCGCGTAATGGCTTCGCATCACGACCAGCTTCACCAGCAAACTCAAGTCGTGGTTATCCTGCAGGGCGGTCTGCTTCACGTGCTCCAGCACCGACGAGCTCGCCACAGCCTCGTCCTCGTCCTGCTAGACGCCCATCAAATGCTGCTTCCACAATCAGTCAGATTCCCGCTCCCGCGACTGCTGTCCCAACACCGTCAGTTCCCGACACCATCCCTTCTCCCGAACTTAATCGGCCCCCTCCTCGCTCATCGTCACCCTTACCAGTAAGATCAACGAAGCGCAGTGGAACTAATGGTATGCCGCAAGACGGTCTAACGCGTCGAGACCAAACCGCTCAGAATGCCCGTGTCTCTTTCTTTGACCCCGCGAATCAAGCCACTTTGGACCGTCTAATAAGATCAGCTGCCACGGATATCGACGGAGAGGAGGAAACAGCGCAGGCCATGATGTCCAGTGTTGAGGAAATGATTGAAGGCTATGAGTGGGCCATAGACGATGTGATTGGGCGCAAATCTTCGAAAGGCGCAGCGGACTTGATCGAAGCGCGCCTCGTTGACGAACTGTCGGCACTCGATAAGGCCTGTTGCCTTCTTGTTTCATTCAGGACTTCGCTAACGACCTCCTAATATTAGGCCAACATTCACTCGTTCTTGGAGTCGGATGATCTTATTGATGTTGTTCTCAAGTTCATGGACGACGCGATGGCAGAGTTGGATACCATGGACAGTCTGGTTCAGACGTATAAGATCCACCTAAATGTGCTTCTTCTTCTCTTTCTTTTCTTGCCATTTTCTAACGGTCTTCAGGCCGTCGGGGATGATATTTCCTACATTCAGTCGCAAAACCGTGGCCTTCAAGTTCAGACTCAAAATCAACGTGCTCTCCTTGGCGAAATCCAGAATCTTCTGGTACCTCCTGATTGACGATTGTATCTTCTTCGTTCATCCCATTTTAGCAAACCGTCCAAGTTGACAAGGATGCTCTGGCAATCCTCACCCAAGAGTCCTTGGAGAAGTCAACTGGAATTCAACGACTCGAAGAGGCGGCAACAATGCTTTACAAGGCTCTACAGGCTGGCCAAGATACAGGTGATCAACCTTTTGATTCCGATGGCCTCAATATTAAATGTGCGCTTCAACTAGACATGGCCGCAACTATGGAGCGTCTACAAGAATATCGTACCTATAACGCCCAGTTCTGCAAACGCATTTACGACTTCCTTTCAATAATGTTCACAGCTCAGGCAAGGCTTCTTCTTTAACAACGACGGTCGCACAACCTTACTCTTCTGTGTTCAGTCTCAAATGCTGCTCGGTTCCACGGATGGCCTTTCAAAGCCAGATGCTCGTGGTCGGTTAAAAATGGTCGTGCATCAAGACCTTGAACAATATCTCGGGCGATATGCAGGCTTGATGCTATATCTGAAGGAGATGGACGAGAAGGTATACGCAAAGTTGTGTGCTGTAAGTCTCTTTTTTCTTTCAAAAAGCTCATCTTGTCAATCAACTGCTCACTGGTTTAGGCGTACTTTTCGTCCTCGAGTGAACTTCACCACACACAAATCAAAGCCCTCTCTGGAGCGTATATGAAACTGGTAAAGAAGGCATCCGAAGAGGAACAGGAGCAAGGTCCTTGGCTTCGTCATATCGTCTATTCCTGACCTGTCACGTAGGGTTTGGGGCAACTCCGACTGTCAGTGCAAAGGGCGCCACTGGAATGCGCCGCGCAGGCACGCTAATGAGGTCTCCGATGGATACACGTAACAAAGACAAAGATAAAGACGGCAGTCTCAAAGCGTCTGAGGTCAGTCGTCATCTACGTGCTCGGCAGGGAAAGTGCTATATTCGAGGTTTCAGGTCTTAGCATTGATTTTAGAAGAGATTGCACCACTACTTTCCAGGGAGGAAGAATTCATGGCCGATTTCTTACAGATCAACGATGCTGCGTTAACTTTCGCCGACTACATGGATCTGGACAACTACTTCCGCAGACAGGCATCTCGCGGGGCTGGACTCAGTCAGACGACGATGAAACTTGTTCGTGGAGCAATGGATCTCATATTTGGCTTTTTGCCGGAGGAGCTCAAGTCATGGTTGGATAATGCATTGGCAAAAGACAATATGTACGTTGTTGTTCCACTTGGAAAGTCACTTGTCCTCAAATAGAATCAGGCAGATCGTTGGTCTCATCGTCAGTCTTGAGCGCTTTATAGCAGAAGCTGACGATCGAGGCAACCTCTTCCTCCTGAACGCCCTCGGCAAGCAACATACGCGGCTGAAAGGATTGTTCGATCGTCACATTGCCAGTCAAATCCTTTTGCTTGCGCAATGAAAGAGCTAATTTGCCATCAGAATGAGCAAATCAAGGGCGTCGAGCAAACTAAACTGAACGGCAAGAAGCGCAAGGGCGTCGTGCATTTCGTCAAGCACTTCCCAGTGTACATCAGCCACGTGGAAAGCCAGCTAATAGGTGCTGATGCGCTGGAAGTACGGGGAACTGTCGACGCTGCCTACGACCGGATCGTCCAATCCATGTTTGAGTCGCTCAAGCAGATGGCCAAGATGGATGGAGAGGGTGAAGATAAAGGACAGCTCAACTTCCACGTGATATTGATTGGTCCGCCTTCTTTTTGCTTCCCAGCGGCAGCATCGTAAACTGAAGTTTCACAGAGAACATGCATCACTTTGTGGCCGAAATATCGCAGATAGAAATTGGTTCAGTTTCGGGCTTTTTACGACGCGCTGAAGGGATATACGACGAAAACATGACCGCATACATCAAGATTGTTCTTCGTAGACCGTTTGGGAAGCTCATTGTGTGTTCTCTCTCATTGTTGACGATTCCAGAGTGCTGACGCTGGGCGGAAAGGATTACTTTGAAGGTGTCGAACGTCTGTTGAAGACAACGGCTCCTTCCGAAGTCGCAACAAATCCCAACTATAACAAATCAGCCCTCAAGAAGGTTGTGAAAGAATTCAACGCAAAGGATGTCCGAAAACATGTCGATGGCTTATTCAAGCGTGTGGAGAAGCACTTTACAGAGGGCTCGGAGGACAGTGGTGCCGGTATGGCCTCTGGGACTGTTATGGCCGGCGTGTGGAAAGCATGTGAGGAAGAATTAGTGCGGGTTACCCAACTGGTTCAAAAGCGAATTACCCAGTGCTATGCGGATAGCGGGGTAACACTTGAGTATACTATAGCAGATGTTGAATCAGCATTCCGCCGCCAGCGAGCGGGTACTTAATTGTGTAGACGAACAACATTTGAATGCTGAAGATGACATTCACATATTACTTATAACTTTTAGTAAGAGGTTAGTTACAACAAAACACACTTGTGCCATTTATATCTTCTTTTGTTTCAGTCACATCCAAGTCCTTTTCTTCCCCACCGACCAGCACTGTCCGGATGCATGTGAGCATGTCTGTTCAAATCTCAATGTAGTCCCAGGCTCCTAACCCTTGTTGCAGAGCTATTCAAGTTGGAAGTGATTCTAGACTATATATATATATATATATATTGAATTTAAAATCAAAGATGTGACATAACATGACAAAAAGAGTTCATAGCACTCTAGATCTGCAAGAGGGCTGGTGTAGCAAACTCACCTGTTGCTCCCACAACCAGTTGTACATTGGTTGCCACTGATAACTCGCAGTGCTGGCAGCACCTTTGTCAAGTGCCATGCAGAACAGAGGGGGGTTTCTACTATAGCTAACAAGCCAGTAGCTGCCTGACACGAATGAACACAAGACCAACCGGACCGGAGCGGAGTCGGAGCGGACCAAGGCCTGCGAGCGGAGTGTGTCCGGTTGAAGGACGAGAGAAGAGGATCGGAGTCGTTCCGCCACAGAGGAGGAGTGCAAGTAACGTTTATAATCAAGCTAAAGTACCCACCTGTTTAGCCCCAAACCCACTGTACATTATCAGTGGCAACCCGCTGGGTTGGCACTGATAACAGCCAGTCTTTTCAGCCCGGCCTCAGTGGTGAATAATTGTTGGAAAGAGGGGTGAATATTTCCTAAGTCTAAGGCTATTTTTTTCGCAAAGTCCAGGATGTAAGGGGTGAATAAAGGTGAATAATATGATACAGGCCATCTAGATCAAGTCCCTGTCATACTGTGTGACATCTGTGGCATATCATCCCTCAAAGGAAATTTTCACCAACAGAGACTTGAACTAATTTTAGCAGTTATGTCCCACTGTTAGACAGAGTGTGACAACCATGACAGATTTCTAAAAAAAGGAAATTTTCACCATGGACCAGCTTGATCACCAGAGAATGTCACACATTGTCACAAAGTCAAAGTTGTATATCTTGACCATATGAACAACTTTCATTAGGTGACCTATAGTGCCAGCTGAGTAATTCCATCAATATAAGCCATTCACTAACTGATAAAGAACTGATAGGCCTTTATCTTTATAGCTACTTGGGCTAAAAGCATAAATTAAGTACTAGCAGGTAGAGTTTCAAGAGTATCATAAGTTGACATTGCTATCTGATCATTATCATATGAGATAATCACTATATTGACTCTTGAGTCATATAAAAGAGAATATCTAGTACTTACACAGTGCAACATGGCTGACTAGTAAGTTTAGGTACTCTAAACCAAGTCTCTAGTATATCTACTGCCAACCCAAAGTGAATATGGATTGTGAATGCTGTGTATTCACTCATCAGTGGGATTTGATCTCCATCAACTCTCCAATGTGAGGATAGATCTCTAGCTAGGCTGGGTTGATAGAGCTGGGACAGAGCTCATTTGAAAGGTATACCCTCCTACTATCATGTAGGATATTCATCTATATCATCTGCTACTGTCACATCAATTTATTGACTTCCAAGCATGATGTAATACTGAGTTTAAGAGCATTTTGCTGATATCTTGGGTGTCCATGCATAGAATCTCATGATCTTGGTTGTTATAGTTTCACAGGATGGTCTACCATCATCCTCTCAATTGGTGATTATCCAGCCCATACTAGGGTCAGTCAATTTATGGAGGCCTTAGGTGCCATATAACCTAGGATGGAGATATGCTAAAGGTGTAAGGGTACCACTTTCTGAGAGGTGGACTATACCCCACTAGGCTATATACTTAGATTTTTCAAAGCTACAAAGGCTATACCATGGTGAGCTCATCATTATTGGTATAAATAACACTGATAATGGTACTGTAGAAGATCCAGAATAGCTATGAAGTTGATTTAAGTGCTGGACAGGTTCATTTGAAGGCCTATACAATCCTACATCCACCTCTTGAATCATACTTGAAATTATTTTCTAACCAGTTGTAATAGCAAAGACACTCTCTTTTGCTCTATGGGTACCTCTGTTCAGCTACCTTCTGTAACACATGCCAGAACCACAACTGATCATGGTACAGGGTCCTAATAGACATCCAAATATCCTCATTCACCCACCTCAATGTCCAAAACTTAGTGTACAGACCTCACTATTCATGTAAACTAGTTTTGCACCTAACCTGTGTTTCAATGTCTGTCCTAATTCATCCTTTGAGGGCATACAGAGATCAATCAGAGTATGTAGCTAGGTATGTATACCTCATTGGCTGAATTCTACATGCTGTGATTCATAATCAACTAGCAGATCATCATAGTATTGTCAATATCGTTGTGGAATAGCATTGATGTGTATAGTAGAGAATAATGAGAGATTGCATCTATATAAGAGGGTGTAAGGGATATTATTCCTTAGGGGGACCCCTCTGTATGCTTCCTACCTTTATCTCATTGAGGAGTACTCATATGTAGGTGAGTTACTGCAAAATTGGGATAACAGGATACATACAGCATAGACAGGCAGATAAGATAGTTAAAAATAGACGTTTGTCACAGTGCCATTGTAGACATCCATTATAGCAGAATACAACTTAGATCATGATTATCCATGAATTCCTTACCATGATATCAAGTCATCATTGTGCTGGATCAAATTTAAAACAGAAGAAGTACAGAACAGTGGTATAATAGCACAGGCTTGAGGTATATGACTATGTTCATATCAGAACATATGAAGACTAGGTAACTGCCTTCCTACTTAAAAAACAATTATCTGAATTCATTCAGAACTGGTAGAGATATTACTGGATCAATGTGCTTGATAGATGATCATTACCTAGTATACATAGACTAATAATATTCTATTGGTAGGGATATTGATCTCTCTGTTCAGCTATCCTTAGTACTGCTTGAATCAACTCTGTAAGTTGTCTGGTCAGTAAGATATCATTGCATCAGGTGTAGATCAGCTAATGATTGGCCAGTACTGATACAAGTATAAGGCGGCAACAATAGGTTACTTAATGAATGTTGTTCAGATAGTCAAAATATAGAACTTTGATCTTGTGACATTCTGTGACATTCACTGATCAATGTATTCTCAATTGGTAGGGATTTCCTTTTTTGGAAACTTATTATACTGTATGTTGAAATATATGATCATATGGCACAGTTACTGAAACCACTAGCTCCGATGTCAAGTGATGAAATTTTCTTTTTTGAGAAATGTCACATAGTGTGACTTTGTGGACTTCATTTCAATGGCTTGTATTGCACTATTCACCTTTATTCACCCCCTACATCCTGGACTTAGCGAAAAAAATGGCCTTAGACTTAGGAAATATTCACCCCTCTTTCCAACAATTATTCACCACTGAGGCCGGGCTGAAAAGACTGGCTGTTATCAGTGCCAACCCGGTGGGTTGCCACTGATAATGTACAGTGGGTTTTGGGCTAAACAGGTGAAAGCACCGTAGCTACTTTAGCTGTTTAATGTCAAACCCTGGGTTTAAGAAACCTTTTTCTTCGCCTTTTAAACCTTTTATTCTGGCCCTGGTTGATAAGATAAGACAAGGAGGAGATAAGATAGACGATAAGATGGTGATTGGATCATCAGATGTTGATGCTGATGTTGATTGACAGCGTGGAGTTGGACATGAGGCAGACAGCACGTAAAGGCATGGCTAAAGTATGATGTTATTGCCTCTCGTATTAGGGTATGGTAAACACATGGTAGTAGTGTATATAAGTAGAGTAGATTTCGTCTTGTACCCCAGTCTTCGAATTCTATCATCTTTACGATATCCTTTCATGGTGCTTCTTGCTTGCCTTTACTGGCCAACTGGCATCCTCTGAATTGGTGTTGTTTGTGACATAATTTGAAGACTACCCTCTTACCCTCATACCTTCCTACCTCCTACCACCTACCCAAACCACTCCCCTACCCCGAAACTATTGCCAAATTTCCCACACCTATTTTCCCACGCCCTCTCCCCTTCTGCTCTAGGTCATTGCTCTGGGTCTTTTGCTCTAGGTTTTTTCTTCTTGGCTAGGTACACTCGGAGACAACAATCCAAGGGACCCACTCAAGAGGACACGCACTTCGTACTTGCAAGAGAGACGCTTGGCCCAACCCAGGCGCTTTCGTAGAGTCATAGCTGCTACAAGGAGCGCAGGGGCAATCTTCGGAGAACCCTAGTTCGTCCAGCGCGGGGTGTGTCGTAGAAGGCCTCGGTGGATTCCTCTCACGCAACAGGTCTCTTGGACCCCCAACAACGGACTCTCCGGTCCATCCTCTGTGGCGCTCTCCGCGTGCTTTGATCCCTGACCTCTCGTCAGGGGCTCCTTCTGAGGAGTCTTCAAGAAATTCTTCGCCCCGCTCTCTCTCCCCTCTCCCCTCTCCATTCAATCACTTCTATCTCAACTCTCTCCCTCCATCTCCTATATCCGCCCTGGCTACTCTAGCCATCACACCTACTCCCGCAACCATACCCCAAACCACACCCGCGCCCGCACCCCAACCACCAACCAACATGTCCCGCGTCGTACTTGCGAACCCCCCCCTCCCCTCTTCTCTGGTGAGAAATCGCTTTGGGAAAAATTTCTATGATTCTGTCACAACTTACATTGCGGCATACTCTGATGCACTCAATACCGATCACAAACAAATTTGGTTTCCGATCTCATACCTTCGATCCGCAGATGCTTCTGCATGTACGGCAGCTGGCTGGGTGCGCAATTGGAAAAAGCGAACCCTTAAGAATGGTGCGCTTGCGGCCACCTATACATTCGACAACCTCATCGCGGAGCTGGAACTCTTGTTCAAGGACACAAACGTGGCACAGGTGACACATCTGAAGCTGATGACTACTCGTCAAAACAAGATGTTGCTGACCGACTTCTTCCAGTCATTCAAACTACTGGCAGAACAGGCAG